GGGGGGGGGATTGAAGGCCACACATCTTAAACCTGCCAAGGTTGAGAAATAGTGATCTAGAAGATCAAGGGCTGAATGTTAAGCTGGGAAAAGATACTGAGAGGTGATCAGAGTTCTGTGAAAACAGTAGGAAGTAAATTCCTAGAAACTCTATCCACGGAATAACTGCCTCGTTATTCTTTCTGAACCCCACTGTTTTATAGCCCTGTCCCACTGCCTCATATTTACACCCTAATTGCCCCACTGATCACTCTATGACAGGGGTAGGCAATCTTGGCTCTTTTATGACTCGTGGACTTCAACTCCCAGAATTCCTGAGCCAGGATGGCTCAGCTTGGAAACCTCTCTCTTTCCCCTCAGCATGGCTGGTTTAGGAATTCTGGGAGTTGAAGTTCATGAGTCATAAAAGAGCCAAGGTTGCCTACTCCTGCTCTAGGAACATGATGAGTTATATCCAGTCAATACTTGCTCTATATCCACTGTGATCAGATACACCTTGTTCCTAAATCTAATTACATGTATACTTGTAATTTGTATATATTTATAAAGAGGCTCTCCTTGTCGAGACTAACTTTGCCTCCAGTGGTGCCAATAAGCCAATTTGAGCTTCACTGTAATATGTTTTGGCCTCTAACTCTAACATGCCTCACCAAACTTCTGTCAAAAATTTCAGTGTGTCTGCCACCCATTAAAGTTTTTCACCCCCTAGACTAGTTCTTAGGATGCCAACAGATTTTCTTTTGGCTTCTACCTCTGAAGGCTCTTAGTAGAACGAGTTTTGAAATGATGGGTGGGAAGGGAAACACTTTTTCACTAAAATAAGAATTAAATGATTATACAATTTATATTCTTTCTCTTGTTATACAGGGAAAAACTTGATGTTTATTGTCTTAAGAGATGGCACAGGCTTCCTTCAGTGTGTCTTGTCAGATGAACTGGTAAGTTCCCTTTTAAGCCCCTTCTGAAGTGCATCAAAATTTCATACCCTTGTTGATTTTATTCCAGCAGTCCTAAAATCAATTGAAAGTCATCACGTGGTGAAAGAAAGGAGGGAAAATTTTCCGAACACTCAGCATCTTTTCAGTGCTGTGCTAAAATAGCTGTGGAAAACGTCCATGGTTGTAGGGAAGATATCACTAAATAGCGTGGTTGAAGTAATAACATCTTTTTGGCCTTTGTGAGATAAGGATTGTGGGGCATAGCCCGGGGGGGGTTAGATCTAAGATGTTAGATCTAAGATGCTGTCTTTTATTAGTGAAGCCTGACCCATCCTTCCAACTTTTTTATCTTCTCACAGCTTTTATTTTCTCCCAGAAGGTAGATTCCACAATGTTCCAGTTTTCTGCTCAGGCTTTTAGCTTTATTCAGTGCTTCTTCTCTTACATCAAATTACTTTTTATTCCAGTTTTCTGGGCAACATTTCATCCCTTCCTCAAGAGCTTTGGGCATAGTTCAAGCACCCTTCCAGATTTCTCCCTAAAATTGTAGTTTTCAATGTGAAAGAACAGAAAAGATCCTAAACACACGAGGAGCCATCACATTATATTACATTTAACGTGATTGCTGCTTATATGATTAGAACCTTTTCTTCTCATTTTTATCTTGATTTCAGGTTCTTTGGTTTTCAACCTAAAAATATTACATCCATTCTGTATACATTTGCATTCCCATATGAAATTCTGTTTACTATTTCCCTCCTTCCTAATTGGTGACCAGAGTGGCTGACAAATATTGTTACATGTGGTGTGACTGAATCCATTAAAATGAATAAGAAAACAGATTTCCTCCTGATTAATATTACTTTTAAGAACCAGTTTGGTGTAGTGGTTAAGGCATCAGGTTAGAAGTCAAGACATTGTGAGTTCTAGTCCTGCCTTAGGCACAAAACCATCTGGGTCACCTTAGGCCAGTCATTTTCTCTCAGCCTTAGGAAGGAACAATGGCAAACAACTTCCGAAAATGTTGCCAAGAAAACTAAAAGGGCTTGTCTAAGCAATTGCCAGGAGTCAAGACTGACTTGAAGGCACAAAGCAATTATTTTTTAAACCTCAGGTGACATAGTCTTAAACATTCCTTTATTTCTCCCTTTAGTGTCAATGTTACAATGGTGTGGTCCTTTCAACTGAGAGCACTGTTGCTATATATGGCAGCCTCACCCTGGTTCCTGAAGGCAAGCAGGTAAGCGCATTTTAATTTTTTTAAAGAATCTTATGTTTGCTTGAACGTCGCCCGCCAAAAAGGCAGGGTGTTTGTTTCTTCTTTCTTCTATATTCAATCACTGAACAATAGGAATGTGCAAACCAGAGTGTCAGGTCAGAAAATGAGGACTTTAGACTTTCTGACATGCTGATCTTTTGAGTGCAATTTTTTAATTCCCAGGAAATACTCACCTTTTGGAATTTTGCCCACGTATAACTTAAATGCACTGGAATTTTCTCTTGCTGACAGAATGACTTATTTAGTAATGTGGAGATCAAACTTTTGCCAATATTCCAGCAATATATCTAAGTTATCTTGGTTTCAGAGAACAGCCAGATTTGCAAATGGTGCTGAACCCTGGCTTGCATAATAATTGGTTTTTGAATAAGCCACAATTTGCAGATTTGTCCATTGCAGTAAGCTGCAAACCATGTTTTATGAAGTAATATCACGCGGTCCAGGCAACATACTAAGTCCAAATAAACTAAGCCGTGTTACAGCTGAGTATGATATGTGAACTCAAACCCTGATCTAGTGGGAAAGGCTGTTTTAGCTTTCAGTAAAAGTCAGTTGGCTCTCATTTTCTTTCTCTGGTCAAGGAGTTTATTCAGTTTTCATTGGGCTGGTTTGATTTTCTGTTTACAGGTTTTTCCTTTAAAGTTACACTGATTGTACATGGAAAAACTTCAACTGTCTGTGAAATCCTCTGATCCAGAGGTCCCCAACCTTTTGGGCACTAGGGACCGGTTACGTGGACAGAGATTTTTCCTCGGACTGGAAGGGGCGTGGTTTTGTATGCTGTCTGCATCCTGCAGATGGGACTTTGCTTGTTTGTGCAACCTCGTTGCTGGCATGCCGTGGCCCGGTACCAGTCCATGGGGACCCCTGCTCTGATCATTCCAGAATGGAGAAGTCAATGACTGTCTCCTTTGTTTCAATGAGATAATTGCTAATACGTCTTTCTAACAGCAGTGAGTTTCAGACAGTGCTAAGTGAGTGTTATTGTTGTCGTGTCTTCTGTCTTTAAAAATATGAAACTCCCATAGGCTCCAGGAGGTCACGAGCTCAATTGTGACTACTGGGAACTCATTGGTCTGGCTCCAGCTGGAGGAGCTGATAACCTGGTCAATGAAGAATCAGATGTAGATGTGCAGCTCAACAACCGGCACATGATGATCCGGGGGGAAACCCTGAGCAGAATCTTGAAGGTGCGCTCCACCGTCATCCAGTGCTTCCGAGACCACTTCTTTGACCGCGGATATTATGAAGTAAGTATGCCTCTTGCTTTGTTTCTCTTAAGCCAAAAAATCCTTGGTTTCTTATATTACTCCGTGTAGTAAAAGAAGTTTGCAAGCCGATGAGAGCATCATGGCAAGATACTCTAGAGCAGGGTTGGGGAACCATGGCCCCTTTATGACTTGTGGACTACAACTCCCAGAATTCCTGAGTCGAGGGAGAAGTGTAAATCTTCCCTGTTCAGAATCAAGGAAACATCCATCCTAATCTCCAATTTTGCAGAAGAATTAACATTAGATCTATACAGATTGTCCTTGACTTAGGACTGTAGTGGGGCCTGCCTCGACTGACATGATTTTATGACCTTTTTTGGTAGCAGTCGTTAAGTCAACATTGCGGTCATAAAGCAAACCCGTTGTTTGCTATGGGCCATGTTTGAAACCATTCGGCAAAAAGCTGCTTGTCAAGGTTCCGACTAATGAAACACTTCAAAGAACTTCCAGGCATTGTTTATCCTAAAAAGTCTTTAATCATGTAACACAGTGTCAGCACAGCATGGCCAAGATCTGAATTCTCCTCCCCTGAGCACATATTATGCCAGCATATTTCCTTCCCCTAATTTGCTGTCATAAATCACGTTTTCCAATCAGTTTGAAGGGCAAGGTTTCCCTTCTGTAGCCTACAGTTTTCTTATCTTAACTAATCCCCACACACATTCTTTCTCCTCCCCTCCAAGCATCATCTAATTTAACTCTAAAAATACCACACAGCTTATACAGAGAGTGGCTACCTCTGCATATTTTGTCAAAGCAAGAACATCCAATGTTAGCAGTGTTGACACTGCGATTATATGACCATGGGATGCTGCAAATGGGTGTATATGCAGACTTGTTGCTGCTTGCTTGAAATGTGGTCATGTGACTGCTGGGAGGGAGCTATTGGAACTTCTGAACCAGGTTGTAAGAACCTTTTGGGGCGTCCGTCATAATCAAATGGTCACTAAGGGGCTGGTCACAAGTCAAGGACTACCTGTAAGCCATAACTAGCATCCAAAGTATAGTTATTTATAATGAACTAGCTGTACCCGGCCACGCGTTGCTGTGGCTCAGTCTGGTTAAATGGAAAAGAAAGAAAAGAGAAAGCGCACGTTTGTAATATGTTTAATTTCACAATGCTTGTTGGAATCGTAAAATCGTAGCGTGTGTTGCTTTTACGTCCAACAGATGGCGCTGTTTTTCAAAAAAGCATGTTTTTACCTGTCACAGGTGTGACATCTATATAATAGTAGGTATATAAAAACACGCGCGTATTCAAATGCAACGTTGTGTCAAAATTTCAAAGCAATCGGTGAAGAACTTTCGGAGATTTAAGATTTTGAACAAACGAACATTTACATTTTTATTTATATAGATATACACACCATTCATATACAAATCATGAAATTCAAAATAAGTGGTGTTTTGGGTGGCCTTTGCTCATCGATCATAAACAATTGCTGGTTTCATCAGCCTCATTGTAGCCCTTAATTCTCCTTAGCATAGAAAGAAATGGAAAGATGCTGTTTTAACTGTACAAATACATGTTTTGCTTCTCTGAAACAATAAAATACATTATCTAACCTGGGAGAGTCTGTTGTTTGTTTTTAATTGATCCAGTGCTGCAAAGATTCTCTATCCTGTCCTCAGTTGTAATGCTTTTTAATTTTAAATCATACTCCACCTAAATTAAATATGACCTGAACCTTATTTTGTTTAATCCCTATAAATCATCAGGAGAATTTTGGCTGCAGACGTAATTTTACACTATATTTTTTGCTCTCAGTCCTCTTTACAAAACTTTATGCCATAATATTTTTGTTAATTTTTCTGGCCACCGAGAATTTTTCTCTCTTCTCTCCTGCCTCCACCTTTTAAGAAAGTTTCTAGCTACAGGTAGTCCTCAACTTTCAACCAGAAGTGAGTCCCAAATTTCTGTTACTAAGTGAGACAGTTTTAAGTGAGTTTTGCCCCATTTTATGACCTTTTTGCCACAGTTGTTAAGTGAATCACTGCAGTTGTTAAGTGAGTCACAATTGTTAAATGAATCTGGCTTCCCCACTGACTTTGCTTGACAGAAGATCACTAACGGGGGATCATGTAACCCCGGGACACTGCAATCGTCATAAATATGAGTCAATTGCCAAGCACCTGAATATTGAACACGTGACCCTGGGGATGCTGCAAGGTCATAAGTGTGAAAAATAGTCCTAAGTCCCTTTTTTTCAATGCCATTGCAACTTCATATGGTCACTAAACGAACGGTTGTAAGTCAAGGACTACCTGTATTTGGTTTTTTTGTTGATAAAATGCCCAACAGGTGCAGCTTTTCCATCTTGAACTCTATGCAAAATGGAATTCCTGGGAATAAATTCAATGTTTTGGACAATGTCTTCTTTTACCTTTAGATCACCCCACCAACCTTGGTTCAAACGCAGGTAGAAGGAGGATCAACCCTGTTCAAAATGGATTATTTTGGCGAGGAAGCTTATCTGACACAGTCATCCCAGCTATATTTGGAGACTTGCATCCCAGCCTTGGGAGACACTTTCTGCATTGCCCAGTCCTACCGAGCAGAACAGTCGAGGACACGTAGGCACCTCTCCGAGTAAGTGCCTAGCCTTAGCAACTTTTAAGATGTGTGGAGAGTCAACTCATAGACTGTTTTGGAGTGGACTGTTTTCCATTGGGATTAATGGAATAAGGAGGGGAAGCAACCTAAAACTAAGGAGAAATTTCTTAATGGCGAAAACAATCAACCAGTGGAATGGCTTGCCTTCAGAAGTTGTGGGCGCTCCCATCACTGGAGGCTTTTACGGTCTTCTAGTCCAACCCCCTGCTCAAGCAGGAGACCCTATACAATTTTAGACAAATGGCTGTCCACTGGAGGCTTAAAATTGTATAAGGTCTCCTGTTTGAGCAGGGGGTTGGACTAGAAGACCTCCAAGGTCCCTTCCAACTCTGTTATTTTATGTTATTTTATTTTAATCCGTGAGATCTGTGTGCCGGGTAGTAGGGCTGAAGCCCAAAGTCAGGGGAAGCTACTTATTTTGTTTTTCTTCCCAAAATCCTTTTCTCTCTCTCTCCCTTGTTTACTTTTCATGTGCATTTTTCCTTCCCTTTCTCCATGCAAAGCACTAAACCAAGTGTCCACTTGCTAAAAATCTGGATTGGTTGCTTAGAGGAAGCATTGGGAATAATGCAGGGGATGCCAATAAAATAACAAGCGTTGGAGATTAAATTAACAATCACAAGATCATATCAGAAGAGGAATTGTGATAGTACGAGAGATTTAACTAGATCAAGCAGAATGGGCATGCGGCAGATCCCATCATCCAGAATAACGACTGGCCGGGACCAGAAGACACGCTTTTTCCACAGTGGCCCCCTCCATTTGGAGATCAGAACGGTCCCAACCCTGTAAGCCTTTCGTAAGGCCCTAAAAACCTGGCTGTGTCCTGAGCTTGAGACACTGAAAGTGTCAAGAGCCCCATTTCCTGGCCATATTGCTCCTATGTATATTTAATGTGGATTTTTAAAGATTTTTTATTGTTTTCATTGTTTTAAAATGTTTTTAGTATTTTTAACTCTGATATATTTTTGGAATTGCAAGCTACCCAGAGTCATTGAATGAGATGAGTGGCGATTGGATGGATGGATGGACGGACGGACGGACGGACGGACGGACGGACGGACGGACGGACGGACGGACGGACGGACGGACGGACAGACAGACAGACAGACAGACAGACAGACAGACAGATAGATATACTGTAGTAGATAGAGTGGTATGGAGATAGGTAGAGCTAGCTAGCTAGATGGATGGATGGATGGGTAGATGGATAGATAGGTAGATGGATAGACATAGAGAGACAGAGAGACAGATAGACATAGATAGATACAGATAGATAGATATCTTCTCCCTCCCATCCTTTCATTCTGCCACTCTCCCCAAAATGGTTAACTGATGTGTGCAGACACATAATCCAGTCCCAGTCTGAGTGGAATAGTGGTTTCTCCAGGTATGTTTGCAAAGGTGCATTCAGTAGTCCTGGTCATACCAGAAGGGGATGAGGAATTTCATGGTGGTTCCCAGCTTTTTCTCATGAAGACACTGATTTCTTCTTCCAGATACACTCACATTGAAGCTGAGTGCCCTTTCATGAGCTATGAAGACCTGCTGAACCGTTTGGAGGATCTCGTCTGTGATGTGGTGGATAGGGTCCTCAAATCCTCAGTCTCTGATTTAGTGTACGCCCTTAATCCGGTAAGTGGCTGAGACAAAAATACAAGTTTCTTGTTGCAGAATCTCTCTCTTAAATAATCCAGAATATGGCAGAAGGGTGGCCATAGAAATGAAGATGGAGGGAGGCATAAATATATGAAATGTTTTTAAAGGCTCATTTCTACAAGTAGTCCTTGAGTTAGGACCATAACTGAGCCCTGCAATTACAGCCATAGGTTGTGAAGGTTGTAAAACGGGTCAACACGTGATTGGACCCGATTTTATCTTTTTTACAAAGGTCGAGAAGTGTTCATTATGGTGTGGGTTTTTTATTTCAGACACCAGAAGTAAATGCTGATTTCTGGGGGGAAAAACATAATTTGCAGTCATGTAAATTAGGCACTGCAAACAGCCATAAATGTTGGCCAGTTTTCAAACAACCAAAATGCAGTCATGTAATCACGGGGGCGGGGGAAGGAGACTGGAACCAGGTCATTAAGTAGCTTTTGGAGGATCCATCCTAGCTTCAAATGGCCACTAAGTGACCTGTCGTAAGTTGAGGACTATCATACGTATGTTTTGATTCACTAGTGGTCAAAATGTCTGGCAGTTTCAAGATAGATGTGACCCAAAGAGGATAATAAAATTAAGCCACCCAACTGATGTAGTTTTTAAAGCCTTGCCATCTTTACCAGTGCATCTTTCACCTGTAATTGCAGAACTTTGAGCCTCCCAAGCGCCCCTTCAAGCGGATGAACTACACAGAAGCCCTGATATGGCTCAAGGAACATGAGGTGAAAAAGGAAGATGACACCTACTACGAGTTTGGAGATGTAAGCTTCTGATAAGCATCCGTGTCTTCTCTTGTATTTTTTTTTTTTAAAAAAAACAATCAAACATTTGGCCCAACTGGGCAGCAGCATTTAGCTGTTCTTGGATGGTTTGGATTAGCTTAGATTGGAGAGCACCAGTGTAGACCGGGAAGTAAAAAAAACCCCAACCACTTGAAAGCAATCAAAAATTTCCACTTCCTTAAAATTATCAAGTTATTGGACATCAAGCTGACCAGCAAATTGTGGCTGTTGTCCTAATTTCAAAACCCCCAGCAATCAAGTTAATCAGTTTGTGTACTCTCCCTTTCCTTAAATATTATTCTCCAACTAATTGTTTTTTAGCTGTCTTCCTTTTGACTTCTTGCTGTTTTATTTACTTGTCTCTTTGGCCTGTTTCTCAGACTAGGTCCCTATACTGATTTTGTCTGGTATGAAGGTGGCTTACCATTACCTTCTGCATGGACTTTTTCTGACTTCCAATCTAGTTTGCAAACTTTTTCCTGGTGGTGAAAAAAGCTGGGAAAAAACCCCACCAAATGTCAAACAGAGCTGTTTGGTATATCGGTTAAGGTGCTGGCCTAGGAAGCAGGAGACTGAGTTCTAGTCACGCCTTAGGCATGAAAGCTGGCTGGGTGACTTTGGGCCAATCACCAGGTGACTGTGAGTTCTAGTCCTACCTTAGGCATGAAAGACCAGCTGGGTGACTTTGGGCCTCTTGGCTCTGCTCACTTCCCAGGGTTATTGTTGTGAAGAAAATAGGAGGTTGAATTGTATATAAAAACAAGGTTAAAATAAATAAATTCAGATATCTGTCCCTTTCTGTGTGGGAAAGGATGTGGAAAGATAAGAGAATTAGAGTATCGGATTTAAGAGAAACAAAAAGTATGGTCGTTCCTTCTTGTGGAGGGGTCCATCTTAGCTTTTTGTCTGAAATGATATAGGGTTTCCTGCCTGAGCAGGGGGCTGGACTAGAAGACCTCCAAGGCCCCTTCCACCTCTGTTGTTCTGCTTACAGGAAATTATCCCCCAAAGGTGAATGGGTGGGTGTTCCTCATGAGGTTTGCATTCTTGTCCCAGATTGAAGGTTGGTTGTGGATCTGGTGGCACATTGTCCAAAGCCATAACATGGTTTGTTTGGGCTTGGCTTCATGTATCCTGTAAACAGATTGTGATTTATAGACCACAATGTATGGCTTGGCAGCTTATGTCAGCTTAGCCAATGGTAGTTTATTCAGTAGAAATAGTCAAGGAAGGCCTTTCTTAATTTAATGTGTGAAGCTAATCATAAGGGCATGCGGATCTCCAGGAGAATTCAATTGATTATCTATGACCCCTAAAGCCATAATTATACTGGGGCAGGTTGATTTAAATACTATAAAAGCTTATCTGGTATTCAGATTTTCCAAAGACCTCTTCATTCGGTCAAACATCTGATGTACATTCAGAAGGTATAGGAAAAAGTTATTTTCGGTGGCTGCATCCACAATAAGATCGGCAAATTCATTGTGTGCAGTATTAAATGAGACATCATGCAACAGCACCCGATTTTATGACTTTTTTGCCAGTCAATAAGCGAGACATATGACTGATTCGTGACCTTCCCTGCCTATTTCCCCGTTGACTTTGCTTGATAGAAGCTGGATGGCAAGATCACAAATGCCAATCTCATGATTGCAGAATGCTGCAACAGTCATAAGCATGAGGACCAGTATCATTGGTAATTTCAAACTGCCATTAAAAGGTGTTAATTTGATAACTATCTGTAAAGTGCTCCTCAAAAGATTGAAACAGCCATGTCTTCTGGAGGTCTTGGTCCAAATCCTTGAAGGATTTGCTCAGGTTGTGTACATTGGACAAGCAACACTTCCTCTGTCACCTCTGTTTTGGTCACAGAGGAAGTGTTGCTGGTCCATGTACACAACCTGTTTTGATCTGACCACTGGATGATTCCCAATTCTGGCTGCTAATATACAGCACCAATAAGTGAAGTAAGGCTTTAGGGTAGTTCAAAAGATGTGACTCCAGAGATAATCAGTGGAAGTGGAACAGTTCTAGGCAGAAGGAGAAATTAATTGCTGCATTTTTCAACCACAGGATATCCCAGAAGCTCCAGAGAGACAGATGACTGATGCTATTAATGAACCAATCTTGCTGTGTCGATTTCCTGCTGAGATTAAATCCTTCTACATGCAGCGGTGCCCTGAGGACGCCCGTCTGACTGAATCTGTCAGTTTGTGTTCTCTTTCGTGTACTGCATGCAAGATATTGGTGTGGGGAGGAGGGACTTGCTCGACTCCTACTATGGAGTCTAAATTTCCCGTCTGGTTAGCAAGGTCTTGAAACCTATTCAAAAACAGGATTTTAAAAAATGAAGGAATACTTGACTCCCGAGTATGTGCAGAGCATTGCTGCTTTCATCAAAATAATGGAAGGGCATTGTTTCATAAGCTCATGGGGCAGGGCTAATGGTGCAATGCTCTGCTGTCATTTTGCACCTCTTCCTCTCCCGGTGTCTCTTGACTTCTGGCAGATCTTTGTAGATGAGACCTCATCCATATACCTGCAGAATTCTCCTGGACCAGTGATGGCGAACCTTTTAGCGACCCAGTGCCCAAACTGCAACCCCAAACCCACTTATTTATCACGGGGTGCCGGGTGGGCGTGGCTGCGGTGGTCATGGCAGACTAGGTGGGTGGGGCCAGGATGGCGGGGGCCAGTCCCTCGCCATCTTCAGGGCATGGCACACGTGCCCACAGAGAGGGCTCCGAGTGCCGCCTCTGGCACGCGTGCCATAGGTTTGCCACCACTGTCCTGGACTGTCCCAAAGCTGCTTTTCAAAGGGCAACTGGACTTTTTGGGGGGTTTTCCCCCAGAAAATGTTTTGCTTCTCATCCAAGAACTAAAGAAGTTTCTTGGATGAGAAGCAAAACGTTTTCAAGGGGGAAAAAAACCCCAAAAAAGTCCAGTTGCCTTTTTGGAAAAGCACCTTTGGGACACCAATGACTTGGATGATTGAGAATCTCTAGATCAGGGGTTTCAAACACAATGTAATTGAGGGCCACATCAGCATTGCAGTTGCCCTTGAGGGGCTGGGTGGGTGCACCTTACTGGATGGGCATGGATGGGGTGGGTGTGGCCTACTGGGTGGGCATGGCCAGCTCTACATCGTTCGTGTCAAAGGTGCCTGTGGGGGCCTGGGCAGGAGTGGGACAGATCTGAGGGTCTCTGGCAGAAGGGGGTGGGACCGGGGCAAGCGCCACGGCATGGTGCATTTCTTCATTCCTCACAAAGGGTGACACCTCCCCAGCATGCACCCAGGGGGCGGGACCAATGCGGCAGGGGCTGGTTCCTTGATGTTTCTGGACGGCCTTGTGGAGCTAAGACTGAATGCATTTCAGCATAGATGGTCACCACAAAATTGTACATTGGCTCCTGGCCGGCCTGGGCCAGGGCCAAGGCAGTGGGGGCCGTTCCCTCACTGTTTCCAGGATGGCTTCGAGGGCCACATGAAACCACTTCGCAGGCCGCATCCGGCCCCTGGGCCTTGTGTTTGACATGTCTGCTCTAGATAAATCGCTATCCTATACATTTGGAATGTATAGGTTGGAGGTATTCAAAACTGATGTTTCATATGACACCCAAAATGGTATGCTGTTCAATCTTGGATAATCCTGTGTAAAGTTAGATGAATCCCAAGTCAGTGACTGGTTAAGGCAGGGGTAGGCAACCTTGGCTCTTTTATGACTCGTGGACTTCAATTCCCAGAATTCCTGAGCCAGCCAGCCTGGGTTAAGGCATAATGTGATTGGTCTAATGTGGTGTCTAAACCCATGCCGAAAGCTAAATTATGGCTGAGGAGTCCCAAAGATGCTTTTCAAAAGGCAACTGAACAGTCTTGAGTTTGTTTGTTTTTGTTTTCCATGAAAATATTTCGCTTCTCATCCAAGAAGCTTCCTCGGATCTGGAATTGAGGAAACTTCTTGGATGAGAAGCGAAACATTTTCAAGGGGAAAAAAAAAGCCCAGTTGCCTTTTGAAAATCACCTTTGGAACAACCAGGACCTGAATGATTTAGAACAGACAAGGCCCGGGGGCCGAATGCGGCCCGCGAAGTGGTTTCATGTGGCCTGCGAAGCCATCCTGGAAACAGTGAGGGAACGGCCCCATCTGTCTTAGCCCTGGCCCAGGCCAGCTGGGAGCCAATGTACAATTTTGTGGTGGCCATCTATGCTGAAACACATTCAGTCTTAGCTCCACAAGGCTGTCTAGAAACAGCGAGGAACCAGCCCCTGCCATGTCGGCCCCGCCCCCTGGGTGCATGCTGGGGAGGTGTCACCCTTTGTGAGGAATGAAGAAATGGACCATGCCTTGGCGCTTGCCCCTGTCCCACCCCCTTCTGCCAGAGAACCTCAGATCTGTCCCATTCCTGCCCAGGGCCCCACAGGCACCCTTGACGCAAACGATGTAGAGCTGGCCATGCCCCCCCAGTAGGCCACACCCACTCCATCCATGCCCACCCAGTAGGCCACATCCACCCTGGCCACACACACACACCCCGAGGGCAACCGCAATGCTGATGCGGCCCTCAATGAAATTGAGTTTGACACCCCTGATTTAGAATCATTCTTAGACGTGTGGTTGAGGAGGAAAGCTCTACACATATTTGTAATAACGTGTAGCGAAAGGGCTAAAAAGAACATTCTAGGATTGAAATGCACCATTCCTAACTTGGAGAGAGCATTCTACGTCATTAAATTTTACCCTCCAGGACTCCTTTCAGCCTGAAAAATAGGGGGGCACCAACCCTGTGATTAAAAGTACTGGATATTGCTCCTGGAAGGCTGTTTTACAGGTCATTGACCACAAGATGTCACTCAGGCCTACAACTCACAGGAGATACGTTTATAATATTTGACTAGATGTTCTTATGGACAGTCCGCCTACAGTCCCATCTGATTATTTGACAGAGGGGAAGAGGAGAAACCTCGCTGAACACTTACATTAGTCATGTTTAATCCTTGGGCCATGCATGATACAATCAGCACCTTCTGCTTGGCATCCCATCTCTTTTAAGTGGCCTACAATAAAGTTCTTTGAAATGTGGTGGGCTAGGAGTTGCAATTCTGAAAGACCTACTCTAAACCAAGTTAAGTCATACTCATCTTCTGACTCTCACTGGTTTCTTTGGTCTTGATTTTTTTAGGTTGATGTATTGATGCCTAATGTTGGTGAAATTGTGGGAGGCTCCATGCGTATTTGGGACAGTGAGGAGCTACTGGAAGGTTACAAGAGAGAAGGAATTGATCCCACCCCTTACTATTGGTATACAGACCAGGTACGTATTAGGTGTTGTGAGTTGGTGGCACATCTGCCATTCATTTACCATGTGGCAGGAACACTGTAATCTTGGAAGGCAAACCAAAGGTCAAATCAAATCCAGGCATTGGTGAACCAATTAGTGTAGAAAATGCTTAAACAGGTCGCAGAAAACCTTTGGAACAGACCTGGAGAGGCTGCCCAAATTTCCAACACATCGCAATTATCAATCTGAAAAAAGGTGCCTATCATTAAATACATGGGGATAAAACCTATCAATAATCATTAATGTTATTTCAATAAAATGAACATTCAGAAGGTTCCAAGTATGTTTTGCAGGGACTATTTTAGCTTTAAAGCAAAAATCATTCTTCAGCATGAAAGTACCATAACGTGCTTCTAATCTCAAGCTTCAAAACTGCATTTTCATTTGTCTTAGGTTCTGCTCCCCTATATACAATATAGCCTGATAATTAGATGGTTGTTTCTTATTACAAAGGGGAAGGGATTTAAGGTTTTTTTTTGGGGGGGGGGGTTGGCAGGTTATGGGGAAAAGCCTATCTGCAGTGATGAGATTTCATGCGTCTGTTTTCTCCCTGCAAATCAGGGAGATCCTCTCCCCAGCTGGTAATTTAGTTTAAAAATACATTCGAGCAATAGTTGTATGAATGGTGTAATGTCTTCTTTGGCCCAAGGATTATGAAATGTCTAAAAGGTTTGCATCCATAAGAGACCACTCAGAAGCCATTGCTAGCATGAGACGTTTTAAATAATCAGATGTTACCTAAGGGGCAAGCCTTTTGGAATACATGCAATGGGTCTGTATGAGCAGACAGCTTACCTGACTGTCCATCAGTCCATCCATCCTATCCATCCATCCGATTTTTATCGACCCTTTAACACTTTATAAGTAACTCAAGGAGGTAAACATACCTAATACTCTTTCTTCCTCTTCCTCTTTTCCAAACAACAACCCTGTGAGGTGGGTTGGACTGAGAGTGATTGGCCCAAGGTCATCCAACTGTCTTTCATGCCTAACAGGTTTTCTTAGTCCTCAACCACTAACCCAGACAGTGTCTCCAAATTGGAGCAAGGCTCCAAAATGGCAGCCTTTCTCCAGCCCCTGCTCTTCAGCGCAAACTTCCCTGATACCAGCCGGAGAATGGCAACACATTTTTTCAAACTAATCCACAACACAGGCTTATGTGACAATTGAATCAATTCATCACAGCCCTGAACACTTTGGAAGAAGAATGGGACTGCCAGTATAAGTACTGATGGTTAATTTGTCCCCCAGCCACGAGGTGTTAAATAATCTAAGGCAGGGGTGTCAAACTGCTGGCCCGCAGGCCGGATGTGTCACACAGAAGCCACGCCCACCCCAGCTCCGGCAATGGGAAAAAAGACATACGACACGACACGCCCCGTGACGCGGTGAATATGACACCCCTGATCTAAGGTATCCGATTTGCACAACGTTAAGATAGGAATTATGTCTTAGAAATGGAGAAGGGATGGCTTCATAAGCAAAACCCAGGCAAATCACATTGGTTTACCATGACATGTAAATGTGCACAATTAAGTCACAGATCTAGGTTTGGGGTTGCAAGGCGGCTTGTTCGTTAGGCATTTACTGATACCTCTCTCATTTTTGGCTCTGCAGCGTAAATATGGCACATGTCCTCATGGTGGTTATGGATTAGGCCTGGAGCGATTCCTCACCTGGATTCTGAACAGACACCATATCCGAGATGTATGCCTATACCCTCGCTTCGTTCAGCGATGCAAACCCTAATCCATAGTTTCTTGATGGACAAAGTCTATCCAACCTTAACCAGTTTCCTCCTCATAGTTTCATGTCTTCATCCCACAAATACCTGCAAATGTTTTTTTTTTCCAAATGAAATTATAATTGCTTTGAACTGGAATTTAAATTCCAGTATGCTGATTCCAGAAGTGTCTTCCCCTTTCTTGGGCTCAACCTGGTTTCATTCTCATGTATTCTTTTAGCATATTTAAAAACCATTGATTGCCAGTGGAAACTAGCTGTGGGCTGAACTGCAAGGTCATACAATCTGTAACAATACCTTGTAGACCTGGGCTCTCAGAAAACTATAAAGAAAAAATGCAAAGCATCTCATAGGATTTAGGATTTGATTTCAGATTTAGGGAAAATGAACTATTCAACATTGGTAGACTTTGCCAATATGGATAGCAGATGTGAGTTGCGGGCAGATAAAATTTTTTTTTTTTAAAAAAAATAAAAAATACAGGGGTAAAAAGGACAATTCTAGCCCAGTTTTGACCCACTACTTTAGGATCTTAGAAATAGTCTTCTGAGCTATCTTAATAGCATTCAGTACTTTCATAAGGATGACTACATAAGCTTTCTGTATTTTACGGTTAATTAGCTTGCATTTCAAGATCTGTGTATATGGGTTATGTTAAATGGTTAGTTCAGAAAAATACTTGATGTCTTTATTCCTCCCAGCGGAGCTGGCATTGAAAAAAGCTGACTGTATTACTACACTCTTGATATTTCCTAGTCTGCAAGTAACTGGGCCGAGTTGTGTTTAACTTTCCTATAAATATCTTTACTGACATAGTTGAAATGTTAACTGCCTTTGAGCCACCAAAACAATTAGAAAAAAAATGTAAAAGGGACATAGGAGATTCTGGATTTCCAGCTCTGGCAGAATTCTTTGATGTACATTTTATCTCAACTTTACACATTTCTGTTAACTGCCGTGTCTGTTCCCATTTCAAGAGCAGCAATCAATAAATTCAGAGCATTGGAGGGGCAAAAGTATTCCACATCACTGTCCCATTTGTCTTCATTTTGCCATTTCTTAAAATGTCTGTCAAATTTATTTACTGCCCATCTCGTAGTTCAGGCAGTTCTGAGCAACTTACTACATCAAGAAAAAATAAGCATTCACAATCATAAAATAAAAAAATGGATTACAATTATAAAAAAATAAACTAAAAAACAAGGGTTTGTAGGCAAGAGGTGGGTTGCCTTCTCTGTTAGTACAGATCACTTCCAGCCAACAGCTTCTCCTTCAGGATCCAGCTGGCATAGCCAGGTTTTAAGGCCTTTCCTGAAGGCTCCTATAAGGAGGATCTTATCTCCTGTGGCAAGACGTTCCAAAGGGCAGGAGCAACTAATGGGATTTCAGAAAGAAGAGATGGAAAAAGGCATCTGGCCTCTGAGACTTGGTGTCCTTTCACTCCTTCGCAGCCATATTGGCCTGACCACAAGATGGGCAAAGGAATTGCAGTAGGGCAATTCATGATGACATCTTAAATTCCATGCCAGCCCAAGTTTGAGCAGGCAGTTTTTTTCATGTATTTGAAACTGCTGTCTTCCTACCTATTAGCCAAAAGGATTCCCAGAATAGGTCAAAGAAATGAGTCATGAAATTGTGATTGTGTAAGATCCATGGTCCAGTAGGCGTAGAACATAAGGAAAGTGATGAGCAATGAAAAATAATGATAAAAATAATCCAATTATTTGAAGCCATTGTCTTTCAAACAAGTGGTAGGACAGAATCAAAATTTTCTTTTTTAAAGGCAAGTATACGTATATAAAATTTTTAAAAATCAATTATAGGACATTCTTGACTTAAAACCAGTGGTGGGATTCAGCCGGATCGTACCACTTCAGCAGAACCGGTAGCTAATTTTTTGTTGCCCAGGCCCAGAATGGACTTCCGGAAGCGGCATCCACACAGAGAACCAGTTGTTCACATATTTGAATCCCACCATTGCTTACAACCATTTATTTAGCAGCTGCTTGAAATTAAAACAGCACTGAAAAAAGTTACAACTGGTACTCACATTTAAAACCATTGCATTATCTCCACAGTCAGGTGCCCAAAATTTAGGCACTTGGCAACCAGCATGTATTTATGATGATTGCAGAGTTCTGCGGTCATGTGATTGCTGTTTGCATGGTTCCCAGTTGGCTTTTGACAAGAAAAATCACTGGGGGTGGGGGGTGTGTGGAGTTGGATTCACTTAACAGCCTAAGTGATTCTCTTAGTAACTATGCAAAGCAGGTCATGAAATTGTCTGGCACTTACTTTAGCCTTATTGGCCTTGTTTAGCAATGGAAATTCTGATCCCAGTTGTGATTATAAATTGACAATTACCTGTACAATACTTAACGTTGATTTTCTTCAGCCTGGTTCACTCATCTAGGCCATTTTGTTTTTCTCTGCTATGAGGAACTACAGTCTCAAGTAGTCCTCGACGTGCAACCACAATTGAGCCCAAAATTTCTATTGCTAAGTGAAACATTTGTTAAGTGAGTTTGCCCCATTTCACGACTTTTCTTGCCAGTTATTAAGTGAATCACTGCAGTCGTTAAATTAGTCAAATTGTTTTTCAGTGAATCTGGCTTCCCCCTTGACTTTGCTTGTCAGAAGGTTGCAAAAGGGGATCACGTGACCCCGGGACATTGCAACCATCATAAATATGAGTCAATGGCTGAATTTCTGAATTTTGATCACATCCCATGGGGATGCTACAACAGTCGTTAAGTGGGAAAACTGGCCATAATTCACTTTTTTCAGGGCAGTTGTAACTTTGAACCGTCACTAAACGAACTGTTGTAAGTCAAGGACTACCTGTACAAATTTTCCTGAAATATATCAGAACTTGGCAGTTCCATTCCTAATACAGTACATTTTACAAAATTTGCTCATGAATAAAATGTATAAAGTGTTTATAGATGTTGATATACATAGTCCCTCAAGTGTTTCCTGGCGTAAAAGTGGGACTGCCTGTTTTATGTCTGCAGCATCCAATACAAAAATCTATCCTTACCAATAATGAAAAATGCTGTAAAGATCTGGCATTTATTTAATTTATACGCCACCATCTTGCTATTTCACAGTAACAAAAATCTCCTGTTCTCTGTCACTGACAATAATTGTTCCCACAAACCTTGACAATATGGAACCTTATTAAATTGTACTGAGGGAGCTAATAAACTCACTAAATATTGGGTGGTCTTTGGATAAGCCTTTTGCAGCAAAGTCTTCCACTTTCTGCATTTTTATCTTATATTTCCATTGCAACAGAACTTTCAAGGCAGCTACTGATAGGGGCGAGGACATCATAAACCTCACAGCAAAGTATATTGTTCCTATCTACACCTTCAAAAAAAAATAGGCAATTCATCCAACTGGATGAAGAGTTCAGGCGAAGATAAACACCAATCTTTTTGCTTTGAGATCTCTATTTGGAGGGTTATACTACAGTTTTAAATAATCATGGGCTGCAAAAATGCATTTCCGGGGTTGTATCTAACTTTACCGCCGCTGGTTGCCCACACCAGGTTCGTGATTTGATGTTGGGAGCACAAACACTGCTGCATCTGGAACTCTAAATACCTAGCAAATCTGCATCTGTCAATGGATCTCAATGCAGCTTCTGCACCTGCTGCATCAAGCAGGCTCCCTTCCTTATTTAAGCTTGTAAGGATTGTAAGGATTACTGGACAATGAAACGTTTGCAATTAGAGCTGTCAAGCTGAAAAGATCTCTACTGCCACTACCTGGCAGGAATTTTGAGACTTCTGTATCTCTTTGCCACTCTCAAATGGCCATCTGGCTTTTTAGTGTTTCGTCTTTTCGTCTACCTAATCCAGTGATGGACTTCCTAGTGGTCCCTCATCCTCATACTAAAGTATTTCGCCCTTTCCCCCCATACCCCAGCACGCTTGTTGAGAGGCTCAGACGCGCGATCAGCCGTAGGCTCCCCTCAGCTAGTTCCACGCGAACCCTAAGCGCTGAGTCACTCGGGCCGCTCATTGACTCACCGCTTTACCACGTGACTCCGCCCTCTTTTTGTCTTCCGGCAACCACCGAGAGAGGGAGGGGCGGTGGGGCTGCCTTGTCTCTCTGAAAGCTCCGCCCCCTCCGCTGGTTTGCCGAGGGGAACTAACGTGCCCGGCAGAGCCTAAGAGACTTCAGAGAAGGGATGCAACGGAGCAATCCGGTTCCCTTTGGAAAGAAGCTGTGCCCTGGGGCTGCCGTGCAGGAGGGGAATCTATTGAGTTTACACAAATATGGCTGCTGCCTTCCGAGCTGCGAGTCGAGTCTTGCATCCATGTAAGTATGTCAATTGCCTTGTTTTTTTTTATTTAAAAGGAGGAAAAAAGGAATTTCTTGCAGAATCCCCCAGCCCCGCAATTTAAAGATTTAAGAAGGCTGCATTTCCCCCCTTAGCTGCTTCGCTGAATGCTGGAGGCTGGAGCGCTTGCCTTGCCTTCCCTCCTGCGGGGACAGTGGGGGGCATGGTCAGAGCTTTGGGGTCGGTCTACTGTAGGGAAAGGCTATGGGGTTGCGGCTGTGTGGCGTTTGCACCCAGCCGGGCCGCTGTTACCTAAACTGCTCGGGCCAGAGGCATCGCTGAAGGCTTTTTTGGGCATCAAAATGCGCCCGAGCTCCGGCGGCTCCTTTGGATTGCTCCGGCGTTGCATCGAGTCAGAATTCGCACCGATGTGTTCGGGTTTGGCAAGCCACGAAAAAAGCTGCTTCGAAAGCCACGCAGGGTGGCTCAAGGCAAGAAGATAACCTCGCCATGGGAAAGGGACTAAAGCAAGTCCCCCCCCCAACGTGGCCGCAGGTGGGATTTCGCCTAAAGCATGCTGACTGAGGAATTCTGGGAGCTGAAGTCCACAAGTCTTAAAGTTATCAGGGTTGCAGACCCCTGGCCTAAAGCAAGGGTCTCCAAACTTTAAGACTGATGGACTTCAACTACCGGAATTCCTCAGTCAGCCATTCTGGGAGTTGAACTCCGTAAGTCTTAAAGCGCACCCCTAAGAGCTGCTCCTGCATGGGACATCTGGGGTGCAATAGCCTCAAGAAGATAGGAGAATTTGGATGCTGCAAGGAGTGTTAGATATGTCAGCCCTAGATATAGTTTTCTCCCTCCCTCCTTAATAAGTGTTTCACATATGCTAATGGTGTTTTGTTTATTTCCTACTGTTAAGGCTTATGATAAGGCATAATCAAAGCCTACCTTCTAATCTATCTATCTATCTATCTATCTATCTATCTATCTATCTATCTATCTATCTATCTATCTATCTATCTATCTATCTATCTATCTATCGCCAAAATAAGTGTTTCCTTACATATGCTAATGGTATTTTATTTATTTCCTACTGTTAAAGCCTAAAATAAGGCAAAATCAATCCAAACGGTCCTCTCACATAATGAGATGTCCATTTGTGCACCATTTTGTGACATAGTTCATTGTTTGGAGGGCAAAAGTTACCAGCTTTTTTAGGCCTGCCCAGGAGGATCAGAACGTCATCAAGTTGTAAAGTTTAATATGACAAAAGGGACAAATGATTCCATTTTAAGAAGCATATTAATTAGACGCATTGGTTTCACTGTCAATTCAATGAAATCAAACTCAAACGTGGTTTTCTATCAACTACTTTGCCCAGGCTCCATCTGCATCTCTTCAGAAGCAAGAACTCAGGAAAAAATTGTATGCAACATAGACAGTAGCACACTGATCTAAGTTGGGAAGAACAGCTCAGGGGTACGCTTTAGGACAGTGACCAAAATATTCTCAAAACATCAAGTAAAATTCTAGGAAATAGATTGCTTTGTTTGGTCTCTTGTCTTCCCTTTAGTTGCAAAAAGGAATAACTGGAATCAAACAAGAATCCAGTTGCATTGGAGATGGCAGTCAACAGCCACTGTACAAAGGGCAAAGCCAGAGATTCAACCTGAAAAAAGGTAAGACACATCAGTGGAATTGAATAGATAGGCTTATAATACTTTTCACCCGACATTTAACAGATGCTAAAGCAGCCACAGTTGACTGAGAATCAGCAATCTGGTAAAGGAAGGAGAAAATCTCCTTTCAGTAACCTATTCATTAATTTATTGATTTTGATTTGTCTCAAAGCTGCAGTTCCTGTAGCTGGAATTCTCCATGCAGAGAAAACTTGCTGCAAAACTTTTAAGAAAATAATATGCTTTCTGTTCCAATAGAAGAGAATACTTGTAGCTCAGGGCTAAACTGTGTAGTCCTTGGTGTGCTCCTAAGCCTAGTTGTTTTCTTGCAGATATTTCATTATCCAACTAGGTCACATTATCAGTGAGAGTAGGGATTGCTGCCTGTTTATATGCAGTGGCTTCCCTGCTAGTTTTAGTGTGTGGGGGGTGTAGTTGCTACCTTCATCTGCACTGATGAATGTTACCTAGTTATGTAAGGAAACATCTGCAAGAAAACAAGCTCAGAGACATAGAGTACTCCATTGTGCTTTTTATTCTAATCTCTTGCTAGGAGTGCATTTGAGAATAGGTCCCGGTGAACTCAGTAGAATTAACTTCTGAGTGTAAGATTACCCTGTTACTTGCTTTGAGATTTGGTACAGAGGAATATCTCAGGTTTGTTTGTTTGTTATAATAATAATAATAATAATAATAATAATAATAATAATAATAATAATAATAATAATAATAATAATAATAAAGTTGGAAGGGACCTTGGAGGTCATCTAGTCCAACCCCCTGCTCAGGCAGGTGACCCTATACTATTTCGGACAAATGGCTGTCGAGTCTCTTCTTAAAAACTTCCAGTGTTGGAGCATTCACCGCTTCTGGAGGCAGGTTGTTCCACTGGTTAATTGTTCTAACTGTCAGGAAGTTTCTCCTTAGTTCTAGGTTGCTTCTCTCCTTGATTAGTTTCCATCTGTTGCTTCTTGTTCTGCCTTCAGGCGCTTTGGAAAATAGCTTGACTCCCTCTTCTTTGTGGCAGCCCCTGAGATATTGGAAGGCTGCTATCATGTCCCCCCTCGTCCTTCTCTTCGTTAAACTAGACATACCCAATTCCAGTTTTGTCCTGGGGATTTGAAGCATGCCCCGGATAAAGCTGTAGTCAATTTCCTTTTTGCTTAGAAAGAAAGATTTTGGAGATTTGCCTGCTAAAAGAGAATAAGTGCAATTGGAAGAAATTTATTTAACAGAGCTCATTTAAAAGAATTCACTGTTTAGTTTTAGAATTATTCCCTGGAATCAGCTTTTCATTATATGTTTTTATTCTGTGACTCACAAATACTCTTAAGTTTAGTGTCCAGTGGACTGATATTTTCCCAGGACTGGTAGTAAAACTGGGATTTCTGTTTCTTAAAAAATATCTGTTTCAGAAAATCTCAAGGGAAAGCAGGTCTTGACCCTTTAAGAGGGTTAATTGCTGCACATTCATAATTATTGCATTGTCTTTATGCCATAAGTGAGATTAGAATACTGTTTGCTTTCTTTTCTCTTTAACTTTTTATGTTAAAGGTTTCTGACTATTCATTTACTGAAAGGCAGGAAACAAGTGGGTGATGAGAAAATTAAGCTTCTAATACTTTTCAAAAAGTTGCAGACATTGTCAAGGGGAGGTAGTCCTCAACTTACAACTATTTACATGGCACACACAAAAAAAATGACTTAACAACCAATCCTCACACTTAAAAGCATTGCAACATCCCCACAGTCCTGTGATTAGAATTCAGGCACTTGGCAACCTACATGTATTTACAACAGCTGTAGCATTCTGGGGGGGGTGTGTGTCATGTGATCACCATTTGCAACCTTCCCAGCCAGCTTCTGACAAGCAAAGTCAATAGGGAGAAGGTGGATTCGCTTAGCGACCATGTGCTTTGCTCCATAACTGCAGTGATTTGCTTAGCAACCATGACAAAAGTTGGAAAAACATAGTGTAACAACCTCCTTGCTTAGCAGTGGAAATTCTGATCCCAACTGTGGTTGTAAGTCGAGGACAACCTGTATAGTAATTACTATCCATCTTGTGCTTTGATTAGATAGAGACTTGCATACGTTTGTAAGCACACACCAGAGCTTTTTCCCCAGCCAGGAGGAAGTGCTACCTTGGAAGGGCAGGTTAAATGGACAAATATAAGAGGCACCAGATTTTATCTTTTTGAACTCTGACCAACTGAATGGTATAGGGCAGGGGTCCCCAACCCTTGGTCCATGGACCAGTACCGGGCCGCGGCATGCTAGCAGCCGGTCTGCACAAACAAGGAAAGCCCCATCCACTGGGTGCAGGCAGCACACAAAACCGTGTACCCTCCGGTTCGCGGAAAAATCTCTCTCCACGGAATAGTTCTGCTTGAGCAGGGGTTGGACCAGAAGACCTCTAAGGTCCCTTCCAGCCCTCTGATTCTATGTTCTCTTTCTCCACTCAGCCATAGCACTTTCCCCCCAGCGATATATCAAAATTACCCTGGGATATCTAGGAAAAAAGTAAAGACAAAAACAATCTTTACTTGATTATCCCACAAAAGGTGTACCCACAAAAGGTGCCACCATCTAGCTTGACGGCTGACCACAAAAAAAAGTTGGACCAGCTTCAGTTATTATTATTTATTTTTTTATATAAGGTTATTTAATGTTTTCACTTGTAATGCTTGATGTTTTAATACTTTTAACATTCTAATTGTTTTATATTGTTATTTTATGATGTTGTAAGCTGCCCAGAGTGGCTTGATAGTGAGAGGGTGGCATCTAAATTTAATAAAGAAACAAATAAATAAGACCTTTAGGGGGAAAGTTCTGGAAAAAGGTAATTAGAAACCCACTTTATAGGAATGTGACTCTACAGTAGTGTTTCTCAACCTCAATGGCTTTAGGATGTGTCTGGGTGTGGAATTCTGGGAGTTGTAGTCCATTCACATGTCTTGAAGTCACTGAGGTTGAGAAATGCAGCTCTACAGTTATCAAAAGTAGAATCTGACTTTAATTTATAAATTATATATAATTTATATATAAAGTTATAATTATAATTTAAAATGTATAAATGGTGTATGAAAAGCATTTTATTCTCCTTTGTTTTTCTCCACAGGAAACCTAAAACAGGGATCTTAATGTTAAATATGGGAGGTCCAGAGACCCTTGAAGATGTCCATGAGTTCCTGCAAAGACTTTTTCTTGATAGAGATCTAATGACACTTCCAGTGCAAAAGTAAGAGAATCATCCTGCTACTGGTTATCCTGCTGAATTTCTTGAGGGAGGCTTAGAACTTGCTTAATCGAACAAAATGAATGCTATTAAGCTGTTTCTCTAAAAGACTTTTTCTTTGCATTTCTGTAGCTTCTTGGGTTCTTCCAAGCTTTCTCATGCATATAGAGTACATTTTAGCTACTTCAGGATCTAAGCTAGCAGGATGATTTAGTGGGTCATTCTTTTCAACCCTGAGGCTTGCAGAATTCTTTGCCATTACCTGAAATTTGGGGATTAGCAAAATATCTTAAGAGCAGCAAGAGGGAAAAGGGTGAATGTATTTACATTTTAAAAAAATGTATGAATGTTCATATGTACATTTTTTTAATCCAGTTCTACCTATTTGTGATTATCTACTTTTAGTTTCTTAATCATGTATTACACATTAATATAAATATAGTAGAAGCCATTGATCATTGCTCAGGTTATGTCAGTCTTTGCAATATGAAAGAGCTACAGTTTCTGGACAATACTCAGATGCAAAATAGTGAGGAATTGTCACATCTTATTATCTTTGTTTGGTCACACAGTCATTCAGATGCTTAGATTGGATTTGGCATTTTTGTCTGTATTGCTATTATATACATAAACATGTGAAATCACAGCTGCCAGTTCTCTATGTGGTGTTAACCTTCACACACAAAGGACCTTCCTAAGAACCTAAGATGTTGTAATGTATTGGTATAGTATATGTGTGGATCCAAGCTCTGTGGCCTCTTGTAATTGACAGATGGAATGCACAATGCATAGATTTTCTAAGAGCTGTCCAAGATTTTTTGGTATGCCACAAGTGTGCCAATAACCATGGGACCATCATGGTTGGTTTATGCCAGGGGTAGGCAACCTTGGCTCTTTTATGACTTGTGGACTTCAACTCCCAGAATTCCTCAGCCAACTTTGCTGGCTGAGGAATTCTGGGAGTTGAAGTCCACAAGTTATAAAAGAGCCAAGGTCGCCTACCCCTGGTTTATGCTATAATCTTTTGATTTCAATTTTCAGGTCTTGATACTTTGTGATCTTCTCCAATTCTTTCTCCTCTATTCTTTTCTTTCCTAGTATTGCTACATCAATTATCCACACTTTCTTTTTCAACCATACTTAAATCTGGTGTATTATGAGCCAAGACTTTATCAGTTTGTATTTGGAAATCCCACAATATTTTTAACCTGCTGTAACCTAATTAATATTAGTAACCTAATTTTGTGTGGGTAATGTACAGTTAGATTGACACTCTAAGACTGGTGGAAACTTAATAAATTAAATCCTAACCAAGGACCTAAGAATTATTAAGGGAACANGTCTGCAACCTTGACAACTTTAAGACTTGTGGACTTTAGCTCCCAGAATTCCTCAGCCATGCTGACTGAGGAATTGTGGAAGCTGAAGACCACAAGTCTTAAAGTTGTCAGAGTTGCAGACCCCTGGCCTAAAGCAAGGGTCTCCAAACTTTAAGACTGATGGACTTCCAACTACTGGAATTCATCAGTCAGCCATTCTGGGAGTTGAACTCCATAAGTCTTAAAGATGCCAGGTTTGCAGATACACCCCCCCACACACATATACACACACACTGGCATAAAGGAAAGCGCACCCCTAAGAGCTGCTCCTGCATGGGACATCTGGGGTGCAATAGCCTCAAGAAGATAGGAGAATTTGGATGCTGCAAGGAGTGTTAGATATGTCAGCCCTAGATATAGTTTTCTCCCTCCCTCCTTAATAAGTGTTTCCTTACATATGCTAATGGTGTTTTGTTTATTTCCTACTGTTAAGGCTTATGATAAGGCATAATCAAAGCCTACCTTCTAATCTATCTATCGCCAAAATAAGTGTTTCCTTACATATGCTAATGGTATTTTATTTATTTCCTACTGTTAAAGCCTATAATAAGGCAAAATCAATCAAAACGGTCCTCTCACATAATGAGATGTCCATTTGTGCACCATTTTGTGACATAGTTCATTGTTTGGTGGGCAAAAGTTACCAGCCTTTTTAGGCCTGCCCAGGAGGATCAGAACGTCATCAAGTTGTAAAGTTTAATATGACAAAAGGGACAAACGATTCCATTTTAAGAAGCATATTAATTAGACGCATTGGTTTCACTGTCAATTCAATGAAATCAAACTCAAACGTGGTTTTCTATCAACTACTTTGCCCAGGCTCCATCTGCATCTCTTTAGAAGCAGGAGCTCAGGGAAAAATTGTATGCAACGTAGACAGTAGCACACTGATCTAAGTTGGGAAGAATAGCTCAGGGGTATGCTTTAGAACAGTGACCAAAATATTCTCAAAACATCAAGTAAAATTCTAGGAAATAGATTGCTTTGTTTGGTCTCTTGTCTTCCCTTTAGTTGCAAAAAGGAATAACTGGAATCAAACAAGAATCCAGTTGCATTGGAGATGGCAGTCAACAGCCACTGTACAAAAAGCAAAGCCAGAGATTCAACCTGAAAAGAGGTAAGACACATCAGTGGAATTGAATAGATAGGCTTATAATACTTTTCACCCGACATTTAACAGATGCTAAAGCAGCCACAGTTGACTGAGAATCAGCAATCTGGTAAAGGAAGGAGAAAATCTCCTTTCAGTAACCTATTCATTAATTTATTGATTTTAATTTGTCTCAAAGCTGCAGTTCCTGTAGCTGGAATTCTCCATGCAGAGAAAACTTGCTGCAAAACTTTTAAGAAAATAATATGCTTTCTGTTCCAATAGAAGAGAATACTTGTAGCTCAGGGCTGAACTGTGTAGTCCTTGGTGTGCTCCTGAGCCTAGTTGTTTTCTTGCAGATATTTCATTATCCAACTAGGTCACATTATCAGTGAGAGTAGGGATTGCTGCCTGTTTATATGCAGTGGCTTCCCTGCTAGTTTTAGTGTGTGGGGGGTGTAGTTTCTACCTTCATCTTCTACCTTCACCTACCTTCATACTGATGAATGTTACCTAGTTATGTAAGGAAACATCTGCAAGAAAACAAGCTCAGAGAGATCGAGTACTCCATTGTGCTTTTTATTCTAATCTCTTGCTAGGAGTGCATTTGAGAATAGGTCCCGGTGAACTCAGTAGAATTAACTTCTGAGTATAAGATTACCCTGTTACTTGCTTTGAGATTTGGTACAGAGGAATATCTCAGGTTTGTTTGTTATAATAATAATAATAATAATAATAATAATAATAATAATAATAATAATAATAATAATAATAATAATAATAATAATAATAATAGTAGTAGTAGTAGTAGTAGTAGTAATAGTAAATTTATTTATTTATTTATTTAATTTAATTTATATGCCGCCCTTCTCCCACAGGGACTCAGGGCGGCGCACAACATATTTAAAACCATTAACATATATGCAATCCCCCCCTTAAAACCGAATTAAACCGAATTTTACTGTTGCGTCTTCCGAATAATAATAATAATAATAATAATAATAATAATAATAATAATAATAATAATAATAATAATAATAATAATAAAGTTGGAAGGGACCTTGGAGGTCATCTAGTCCAACCCCCTGCTCAGGCAGGTGACCTTATACCATTTCGGACAAATGGCTGTCCAGATTCTTCTTAAAAACTTCCAGTGTTGGATCATTCACTGCTCCTGGAGGCAGGTTGTTCCACTGGTTAGTTGTTCTAACTGTCAGGAAGTTTCTCCTTAGTTCTAGGTTGCTTCTTTCCTTGATTAGTTTCCATCTGTTGCTTCTTGTCCTGCCTTCAGGCGCCTTGGAGAATAGCTTGACTCCCTCTTCTTTGTGCAGCCCCTGAGATATTGGAACACTGCTATCATGTCCCCCTCGTCCTTCTCTTCATTAAACTAGACATACCCAATTCCAGTTTTGTCCTGGGGATTTGAAGCATGCCCCGGATAAAGCTGTAGTCAATTTCCTTTTTGCTTAGAAAGAAAGATTTTGGAGACTTGCCTGTTTATGCTAAAAGAGAAAAGTGCAATTGGAAGAAATTTATTTAACAGAGCTCATTTAAAAGAATTCACTGTTTAGTTTTAGAATTATTCCCTGGAATCAGCTTTTCATTAAATTTTGTTACTCTGTGACTCACAAATACTCTTAAGTTTAGCGTCCAATGGACTGATATTTTCCCAGGACTGGTAGTAAAACTGGGATTTCTGTTTCTTAAAAAGTATCTGTTTCAGAAAATCTCAAGGGAAAGCAGGTCTTGACCCTTTAAGAGGGTTAATTGCTGCACATTCATAATTATTGCATTGTCTTTATGCCATAAGTAAGATTAGGATACTGTTTGCTTTCTTTTCTCTTTAACTTTTTATGTTAAAGGTTTCTGATTATTCATTTACTGAAAGGCAGGAAACAAGTGGGTGATGAGAAAATTAAGCTTCTAATACTTTTCAAAAACTTGCAGACATTGTCAAGGGGAGGTAGTCCTCAACTTACAACTATTTACATGGCACACAAAAAAGATGACTTAACAACCGATCCTCACACTTAAAAGCATTGCAACATCCCCACAGTCCTGTGCTTAGAATTCAGGCACTTGGCAACCTACATGTATTTACAACAGCTGTAGCATTCTGGGGGGGGGGGTGTCATGTGATCACCATTTGCAACCTTCCCAGCCAGCTTCTGAAAGTCAATAGGGGGAAGGTGGATTCGCTTAGCGACCATGTGCTTTGCTCCATAACTGCAGTGATTTGCTTAGCAACCATGACAAAAGTTGGAAAAACATAGTGTAACAATTTCCTTGCTTAGCAGTGGAAATTCTGATCCCAATTGTGGTTGTAAGTCGAGGACAACCTGTGTAGTAATTACTATCCATCTTGTGCTTTGATTAGATAGAGACTTGCATACATTTGTAAGCACACACCTGAGCTTTTTCCCCAGCCAGGAGGAAGTGCTACCTTGGAAGGGCAGGTTAAATGGACAGACGTAGGCGGCACCAGATTTTATCTTTTTTTTATATTCAAATTTTTATTAATTTTCAAATAAACGAACAAGTTACAAATATGGTATACATTAATAAACAAAAGAAAAAAACCCCATATTATATATCTATTCAGAGATGCTCAGCAGCCCCCCCGCCCGCGTCCACCCTCTCTTTCACCCTTCCTACCTACTTCCCTCCTCCTCTCTTCCTCCTACCTACACCTCTCTCCTCCTTCCTCCTCTCAACTACCCTACACATCCCACCTCCTTCCTTTCCTCATCCTTCGGACGCAGTCTGAGGGCGCCAGCCGAGCATCTCATCTTCTTCAAATACATTATTTCACTATAACATTTTAATATGCCAAAATTTACATTTACATAAATCCCCTCCCCCCCTGGACTTCCCGGAATCGAATACAGGGTTATGCACATGTCATCCCAGATCTAAATAAAACTACCCAAACATAATACAATCAAACATTAACATACTATAACTCTAATAAAAAATATCAACTTGAAATAAATATAAATATAAAATATATATAATATAATAAAATAAAAACAATATAAAATCTACTCAAAAGCTATATAGTATTTGTTCACTTCATACTTTCTCTGAATATAATCTATCCATCTTCTCCAAACCAAAATAAATTTTTCTTGAGATTGATCTTTCAAGTATGCGGAAATCTTAGCCATTTCTGCAAAATACGACACCTTCGTTCTCCAATCATCCATAGTAGGTAATGCATTCTTCTTCCAGTTTTGAGCAACCAATAACCTTGCTGCCCAGATTTTATCTTTTTGAACTCTGACCAACTGAATGGTATAGGGCAGGGGTCCTCAACCCCTGGTCTGTGGACCAGTGCTTGGCCACGGCATGCTAGGAACCAGTCTGTACAAACAAGAAAAGCCCCATCCACTGGATGCAGGCAGCACACAAAACCGCGTACCCTCCAGTTCGCGAAAAAATCTCTCTCCACGGAATAGGGTCTTCTGCTTGAGCAGGGGTTGGACCAGATGACCTCTAAGGTCCCTCCCGGCCCTCTGATTCTATGTTCTCTTTCTTCACTCAGCCATAGCACTTACCCCCCCAGCGATATATCAGAATTACCCTGGGATACCTAGGAAAAAAGTAAAGATAAAAACAATCTTTACTTGATTATCCACAAAAGGTGTACCCACTCTTCGGCGACCCACTCGGCCCCGGCGGCTCTCTTCGGAGGCCTCGGTGGCCCTCTCCAGCGACCTTCTCCGGTGGCTCCGGTGGCCCTCCCCAACGGCTTTTTAGCGGCCCGTTCCAGCGGCCCTTCCCGGTGGCTCCAGCGGCCCTCTCCGGTGGCCTCGGCGGCCCTTTCCAGCGGCCTGGCGGCCTTGGCGGCCCTTTTTGGCGGCCCTCTCCGGTGGCCTCGCCGATTCTTTCCGATGGCCCGGCGGCCCTTTCCAGCGGCCCTGGTGACCCTCTTGGGCGGCCCCCTCCGGTGGCCTTCGGCGGCCTTTTCCAGCGGCCCTGGCGACCCTTTTAGGCGGCCCCCTCCGGCGGTCTCGGCGGCCCTTTTCAGCGGTCTGGACGGCCTTTTTGGCCTCGGCAGCCTTCCGGTGGCCTCGGCGGCCCTCTCCAGCGGCCCTTTCCGGCGGCCTCGATGGCCCTCTCCAGTGGCCTCCGCCGGCGGCCGCGACGCCTTTTTCCGGTGGCCCTTTCCGGTGGCTTCGCCGGCCTCTTCGTGGGTTTCCCCGGCGGCCTCGGCGGCCTTTTCCAGCGGCCTGGCGGCCCTCTTCGGCAGTCCACCCGGCCTGGCGACCCTAGCTGGGTGAGATCTGGGGCCAGATGGTTTGACTAGGACCGGTTGGACTGGTAGTGTGGTTTGGCGTTTAGGCCGGGGGAAGATCTGGGACCTGGCAGCCTGACCGGACTGGGGTTTGACCGGGGGGACCTGTGGCGTGGCCTGGCCCCGGCCCGGCTTGTGCCGGGTGAAGATCTGGGGCCTTGTTTCCATCACCCCCTCTGCTGCACTGAATCTCCGCTGCTGGACTTAAGAACATTGTCTCGGAAATGTACCCTAGGACGGTCCTGCTGGCCTTGCGCGATTCCCCCTTCGCG